TTCTATGTCTCCAGTGAGAGCACGCACCCTATTAAAATTTTTAAAAAATAATCTGGGGCTGGCAGGTGGCATGGTGGTTAAGGGTGTTGGACTCCCAAATGGCCAACTATAGTTCTAGTACCGAACCTAGCGGCTTGCGTTATTACCACCCTGCCCCCCGCCCAAGTCGCTCTGTCCTTCTCTGGTCAAATTAAAATAAATAAATGAAGTTAAATAAAACAATTCTTAAAAAAAAAAAACAAACTCTGAATATTAGGCTTGGCTATTACATCAATGTTGGAACACTACTGGGAGGCCCAGCCTGGGAGTGCAGTCAAAAACAAAATGAACTGCAGTGCTCAAAGCCATGTGACTGACCAGGGTTCGAATCCCTGTATCAGCCTGTGCGTGCATGCCCAAGATTCTGAGAAACTGGAGAGCTGAGGAAAGTGGATCACAGCATGACAAGACCCTGTCAAGGTATCCCTCTCTCTCTCTCTCTCATTTTCTCACATGCGCACACTCCCTATCGTGACAAAACAAACTCAAAACAATAAAATACTGGCAAGAATTCACAAATAAGCAAGACTATGAACTTCAGAATTAAATCATTTCAGCCTTTTTAAAGTAAAATAACAAGAATCTGTTGAAATGTAAAAGAGGCACACTTTTCTTAGCAGTGCCACTTACAGGACTCCGCCCCTAGATGGAGGAGGTATATACACAAGGGTGCCCACTACAGCACTGTTTATAAACAGGTGCAGGAATACAGAGAACCAACCAGAAAGTCCAAGAGTAAAGGAATAGGTAAATAAATTACATATATTTGGAAATAGTAAAACAGATGCTTAAAATAATGAGCTAGATCCAAACTTGCTGAACTGGAGAACTACTCATGGTACATCATCAGATGACAACTCAAACTGCAAGTGAAGAATTAGGCATGTGCTCATTTTTACACAATCAATTTATATACACTTTATTTACATGTACATATTTACCTACGTTTGTATGAGCATGGACAAGATAAAAAGAATATATATAATGCTTTTTAGCATGCTTAATACAACAAATTTTAATATAAAGAATGTAGGTCATGGAATGAGAAAGAGAACAGGATCAGCTATGAACTTTTTTTCCGTATTATACATCTTTGTATTATTTTATTGAAGTAATTACACAACTTTTGCAATCTCCAAAGAAGAATTTATAATTTTTTTTAAAGATTAGTGGTAGACAAAACCAGTTCTTCTTAAAGAACAAGGGCAAACATGGAAATATACAGACTTTTTCAAGGAATCTAGCAATAAAGGAAAGAAGCTATTGGAAAGAATTTTAAAGGGACCAAAGGAACAAAGTAAGCCTATTTCTTTAAGATGAGAGAGTGGGGCTCACGAGACAGCACCAAGCACAAACAGAAGACAGGACACAGGACTACGAGGCCACCTCGAAAGAAACAAACTGATGCCTCTACGTCAGAGTATTTCCCAGTTTCCATCAGAACAAACAGAATCATGGTCAAACTGTTCTTTTATACAAATCATAGAACTCTAATCAGTAAACTTACTATATATAACTGGACAACTTCCAAAGTATCTTATAAAGAGATTAACATCCAAGGCAGCACTAGAAAGGATCAGTTTCAAAGTTGGGTGTTTTTGCAACAAATCTCTTAACTTTGTAAGTAAAAAATCGCTAAATCGATCCCTTTCATGCACTTCATCCTGCAGTAAACAGAAATAAAACCATGGAAAAGTTAAGGCATTCAAATAACTAAGTCTTTAAAATAATGGTATAGCCGAGTTTATTTTTTTAAAGAATTATTTAATTTTATTTATCATTATCATTTTTAAATTTGTTACAGAGTACATGTGTTCACCACAGAGAGAAGGAAAAGTGAGAAAATGAGCCACCAGATCCAGGACCCGAACCATAGTCGGCTATGGGAGAGTCCACTCCCTTACCCACCATGCCACCTGGCGGCCCCTCAAGTATTGCTGAGTTTCTTTTTGGTTTTTTTTGAAGAGGTTTTTGCTATAGGGCGCGTGCACTCGCCAGAAAAGGCAGAGACGGAGAGACAGAAAACGAAAAAGCACCCCTCTGGGGGGATGGCCATGCAATAATCCCTTCTCCTCCATTCTCTTCTCGGGATCTTGGACATGCACACACACATGCCCGACATAAGTTCAAGTCACCAGTCCGGGACTCAAACCACGGTTGACTACGTGGGAGTCCAGTGACATAACCATTACGTCATCAGCTGATCCCAGTATTACTGATTTGAATTAGTATAATTCAAATCAAATGTGGACAAAGTCAATCAATATTAGTGAAAATTTCATATTATGGACAACTCAGACATAATGAGAAATTAATAACCTAACATGGATGATAAAGTACTGCCCTTTGCCCCGCAGCAGGTGGCACAATGGTTAAGGCACTGGACTCCCACATGACAGAATGCAGTGCAAGTTTTGAACCTGGCAGTTTAAGACTAACATTGGGGGTGTGTGTATGCATGCCTAAAATCCCAGGAGGAGAGTAGAGGAGAAGGGATTGTGGTGTGGCCATCCCTTCAGGGAGTAATTATTCACTTTCCCTCTCACTGTCTCTGTCTCTCCCTTCTCCAGTGAGCACATGTGCTCTATAGCAAAAACCTAAAAAAGAAAAAAAAAAAAAAATTAATGGAGTCCAATTTAATGTAGTTTTAATAAATACAAAATCTATTTAAATACATTTTGTTGGCATCAGACCATGGTGTATATTGGGTAAGACTGCTTACTATAGAAGCATATAAAACTTATTCTAGGTTTTTTTTTTTTTCTGATACAAACTAGATATATGCTTAGGAATTCTTTTTTTTTTTTCCTTCTCCTTTTTTGGAGAGATTTTTGTATAGAGTGCGTGCACTCGCCAGAAACACAGAGAGAGAGACAGCAAGTGAGAAATCATCCCCCCTAGTGGGGATGGCCACGCTACAATCCCTTCTCCTCCATTCTCCTCTCGGGATCTTGGGCACGCACGCACATGCACCCAGCATGAGTTTAAACCACCAGGTCTAGGACTCGAACTGAGGTCAACTACATGGGAGTCCAGCAACAAAGCCATTACGCCAACTGCTGGTCCCTAGAATTCTTTAATAAGGGGACCAGCAGGTAGCATGGTGGTTAGGTAGGCTGGACTTCCACATGGCTGATCACGGTTTGGGTCCTGGACCTAGCAGCTTGCTTTCTCACTTTCCTTCTCTCTCTGGTCAACTTCGAATAAAATAAAATAATAACAATGAATAAGATTAAATAAAAGTAATTCTTTAGAAAAAGAATTCTTTAATAAGGAATTCATCTCAGTCAGCAGTTAACTTAGCAGCGTAATCATGAAGTTAAAAGACAATAAAATACACCCTTACAACTGGGAAATATATTAGAGGAAGGATCAGACAATAAATGCAGAGATAAAAGAAAACTTACCATTTTTGGAGAATTCTAAGTGTAAGCATCATTTTCATACATGAAAAACACACTTATAAAAAAACTATTTATGGAGGTCAGCAGGTGGCATGGTGGTTGAGGCGCTGGACTCTCACATAGCTGCCTGAGGTTTGAGTCCCAGACCTGGTGGCTTGAAAATCATACCAGGTGCATCTGCCCAAAACCCCAGGAGGAGAATGGAGAAGATGGCCATCCCCAAGGGGGGGCTTTCTTGCTTTCCCTCTCTCTGTCTACCTCTCTCTCCAAGTACAAACACCCTACAGCAAAAACCTTAAAAAAAAATTTACCCACAAAAAACCTGGTTTTATTAATCTTCATTTAATATAAATTACTTATTTCCCGAATTATAAGCAACAACAAAAATGTTATATAGCCTATTCTTACCACAATAACATGGGTCACAGTTGATAATGTACTATCTCCTGCCATCAACGTGCGAAGCAATACTCCATTAGTGCAAAATGTCAGAAGTGTCTTTGGAGAAACCCTTTTTTAAAAAATCAAAATACAGTGCACGATTATACATCGTATATGTAATGAAAACGTGATCACATTAAATGCTGGTCCTACACATACTTTAACAAATGACTAATACAACAGCGCACTAGTACATACAGTTTACAAGCAAAGTTGTACGAAATGATCTCACAAATTTATTATTACCAACAGTTTTTTTTTAATAGGTTTTTGCCATAGGGCCCATATGTTCACCAGAGAGAGACAGAGACAGTGACAGAGACAGAGAGAGAAAAAGTAAGAAATCACCCCCAGAGGGGGATGGTCACACTGCACTCTCTTCTCCTCCATTATCGTCCTGGGCAGGCACAAACACGGGCCCCGGCATGATTTTCAAGTCACTGGGTCCAGGACTCGAATCATGGCTGGTCATGTGGGAGTAGAGCAACATAACCACTATGCCATCACTTGGTTCTACCAACAGTCTTTTATTTTTTTCTGGAGAGGTTTTCGCTATAGGGCGCGTGCACTTACCAGACAGACAGAGAGAGACATAGAGACAGAAAGCGAGAAATCACCCCCCAGGGGGGATGGCCACACCACAATCCCTTCTCCTCCATTCTCCTCTCGGGATCTTGGGCACGCACGCACACGCGCCCAGTGTGAGTTTTAAGCCACCGGGTCCGGGAGGTGAACCACGGTCGACTACATGGAAGTCCAGCGACATAGCCATTACGCTAACTGCTGGTTCCTCCCAACAGTCTTTTAATAATAGATGTAGTCTGTGAAAGAACTTAAATTGATTTATTTTTTTGAGAGGTTTTTGCTATAGGGCGCGTGCGCTCGCCAGAAAGACAGAGAGACAGAAAGTGAAAAATCACCCCCCAGAGGGGATGGCCACGCCGCAATCCCTTCTCCTCCATTCTCCTCTCGGGATCTTAGGCACACACGCACACGCGCCCGGTGTGAGTTTAAGCCACCAGGTCCGGGACTCAAACCGCAGTCGACTACATGGGAGTCCAGTAACATAGCCATTACACCAACTGCTGGTCCCTTTAAATTGATTTTTAAAAAATAATAATAAAAACCTTAAACACTTTCTACTTCGGGGGAAAAAAAGTACAGCACAAATGAAATCAGCTTTTGAATCACTACTGGTAACACAGAAATAGTGCTACTTACCAAGGAATTGCTGGTACTCCACTGCTGGTAGGTAACAAACTGCGTCACCCCCTTGCTAAGTGTTATCATAAGCTTCACATCAAGCCCTTGCTCTACATGCTTTTATCCACCTCTCTTTACAGAAAAGAAAACTGAGGCTCCAAGTAAAACTACTTCATGATGAAACTATGAAATGGAACTTGTATCTACGGTCCAAACTCTTTTTCAAAGTACTGATTTATTTAAAAACTCACTAAAGGCCAGCAGGTGGTGTAGTGGTTAAGGCACTGGACTCCCACATGGCAAACCAAGGTTCAAGATTGTGGTGTGCTCATCCTCACTGGGGAGTGATTGGTTTCTCACTTTCCCTCTCAATGTCTGTCTCTCTCCGGTGAATGCACACACTCTATAGCAAGAAAAAAAATAAACCTCACAGATATACTAAAAGCAAACAATCACCTAATTTTTTTGACGAGTGTATCCGTGTTTTTACTGAAATATGAACACTTAGTTCTATTAACATGGTAGATGAGAACATACATGAGAACTTACCTGCTTTCTAGTCGGATCTGATAACCAATTGTTTGTCCGATCCTCTCCCTTCTCTCTGCAGCAACTCGTTCAGCCACAGCAATCGCTGCTAACCTTCTTGGCTGAGTACAAAATATACGGCAGGGGATTCCATTTTTAAAGCAGTCATCCAAGAGGAACTGCGGAATCTGAAGCAAAGTTTTAAAATACGGTAAGATGACATGACTGCATATGCAGAAATATCCATGTCAAGCAACTGAAAAGCGACTTCAACTAAAAACGTTCTGTAACAGGGAACCAGCAGTTAGCGTAATGGCTATGTCGCTGGACTCCCACGTAGTCGACCACGGTTCACATCCTGGACCCGGTGGCTTAAAACTCAGGCTGGGCACATGTGCATGTGTGCCCAAGATCCCGCGAGGAGAATGGAGGAGAAGCGATTGCAGCGTGACCATCCCCCCTGCGGGGTGATTTCTCACTTTCTATCTCTCTGTCTCTGTCTGTCTGGCGAGCACCCTATAGTGAAAACCTCTCAAAAAAAAAAAAAAAAGTTCTGTAACATATAAACATAACTATAAAATCAACAATTTTTAAGTAACCATAAAAATCACCTAAAAATGTAGTCTAAAGGTCCTGCTCATAATAAAAACTAAAAGTATCTAAAAATCAAGTTTATCCACAAATATTGACAGTTTACATGAGGAATACCATAAAATGCTGTCCCCCCAATCAAAAAAAAAGTGCCAGCCCGTCGCCTGGTGGTTGGGGGGCCTAGATCCCACATAGATGACCAGTCACAAATCCAGCCCCGGGCTGAAAAACATGCCAGGCTCACTATATGCACGCATGAAATCCCGACACAAGATGGAGAAAAGGAGGAAAAGGGATTCCAGTGTGTCCACCCACTTTGTCCACACCCTGTCCTGTTTCTGTCTCTCTCTGGTAAGCACATAGACTCTGGCAGTTAAAAACACATGCACACAGACAAGCACACACAAAAGAAAACCTGAATATGTAAAGAAATATCCTTATTCCTAAATCAAAGTAATCAATAATATAAAAATGTTAATTCTCCCCAAGTTATTCCAGAGTCAATAAAATGACCATCAAAATTCCACTGGGATTTTTTAAAGTTAATTATTTTATTTTTCATCTTTATTTATTTATTTTATTTTAATATGACCAGATAGGAACAGAGTTAAGAGACAGGGAAAGTGAGAAAGCAAGCCGCCAGGTCTGGGACTCAAACCATGGTCGGCCACGTGGGAGTCCAGGGCCCTTAACCACCACAGCACCTGCCGGCCCCTCACTGGGATTGCTAAAAATAGTGATGAGCATAAAACAGTAAATACAGGTTCAGCCGCGAGAGTGAACCTCACTGCACAATACTGGGGCCATGTGGGAAGAGTCTGGTTTGGAATCGTTAGGTGACCTTGACACGCCAGGCGTCCATGGGCATGTCCATTACCCTGACTGGCTAGAAGGCTGGGATATGATGAGACTCTATTGCGGGATGGGGAAGAGAGCAGCAGGTGGCGCAGCAATTATGTCATTGGACTCCCACATGGCCAACCACAGTTCGAGTCCCAGACCCCAGTGGCTTAAAACACACTGAGAGCATGTGTGTACGTGCCCCAAATCCCAAGAGGAGAATGAAGGAGAAGATACTGCAGTGTGGTCATCTCCCTCAGGAGGTGATTTCTCACTTTCTGTTTCTGTCTCTCTTGGGGGGAGGGGGGTGTCATACGCTTCTTACAGCAAAAATTTCTCAAAAAAAAAAAAAAAAAGACCATCAGGGCTGGGTACAAATGTATGTGTGAATCTATTCCTCTCTCATGACAGAAAACTTACGAAAGAAATAAAGAAAAAAAAAAATAGCCTATAACCTCAGGGTTCCAGATGCTTTTCGATAAACAAAATTCAAACAGGTTAAAAAGATTTAAAATAGGGACCTGCAAATAGCGTAATGGTTATGTTGCTGGACTCCTACATAGTCAACTAAGGTTGGAGACCCAAACAAAAAGACCCACCCCTAGCCCCCACACATAATCTTCTCCATAAAAGTAACTACCGCTGTTGGGACCAACAGATGGCATAGTGCTTATCAAAAGCCCCCCACATAGCTGTGGTTCAAATCCCAGAGCTGGTGACTTGAAAATCACACCGGGTGCATGTGTGTGCATGCCCAAGATCCTGGGAGAATGGAGGAGAAGGAACTATGGTATGGCTATCCCCCTGCTACACTTATTACCGCTTCCTAGCCAAAAAGCTTACACAAGAGTATATGTGTATAGAAACAAGTTTTTATTCACACAAAGTGACTTTACTGAATGTTTGTAATTTGCAATTTTCACTTAACATATCAGATCTATCTAATCCATTTTAATAGCTATATATCCCACATTATGGGCATAGTGTAATTTAACAAATATACACATTCAAGTAATTTCTAATTTCTTTAGATTTATTATTGACACTGTTGCCTACTGTTATAAACAATACTATACTGATATCTATTTCCATTCACATGCTTTTGGAAAGACACATGTACTATAAAATCACTAGCAGAATAGCCCAATCAAAAAACTGTCTAAAATTTTAATTTAGATAGATGAATCATGAACTTGCCTCCAGGCAGCATATACTCCTACCAAGAAAGGGAAGGGTTGCCAACACCCATACAAGTTACTGGTTATCATCATATTTTTTAAATTTCTGACAACCTGAGTTGAAACTCTAATTGTTGTTCAACTGCAAGTGAAACAGAACATCTTTTCCTATGTGCCTTAGCACGTGTAAATAATTTCTTTTTAAATTATTATTATAATTTTTTAAACTTGACTAATTTAACCACAAGCATAAATGTATAAGAATTACCAAGAAATCTTTACAAAGGGAAGATAAGCATATAGTTTTAAACCACAGAAAATCAAAGAAAAAATCCTGAGGCCTGTCACATTAGCACGGCAGTAATACGACAGTCATCAATGCTGAAGCCAAGTGGGAGGGCCCCAGATTTAGGTCCCAGGCACCCCTCTGCATGCTGGGTACATGCACTGCCCTTGACCTGGGCTGGCTGGGGCTGGAGGTAGACTGTGGACAGGACCATGGGCAAGGAGGGGTGAGCTGCAGGAGCCTTCCTCTCCTTCACTCCCTTCTTCTTCCTCCCCCTCTCTCTAAGAAGTAGATTACAGCAAGGAAGAAAAGGAAGGAGGAAGGAAAGAAGGAGCCTGAAAGAAGCCAGAGGTAAAAACACCTTACCTATAGAAGAGCAAAATAATATATAAGACTTCTCAGAAACTATGTAAGCAAGAAAAGAATGTTGTGAAATAAAATGTTGAGAGAAAAAAAAAAACAACCTAGAATTCTGTACCTTGAAAAATTATCCTTCAAAAGTGAAGATAAGGACCAGCAGAAGAAGGCATGGCAATTAAGGCCCTGGATTCCACATGGCCAACTGTGTGGTTCAAGTACCAGATCCAGTGGCAGGAAAAACATGCTGGGCACATGTTTGTGCATGCGAACCCAAAATCCCAAGAGGAGAATGGAGAAAAAGGGACTGTGGCATGCCCATTCCCCTAGGAGGTAAGTTCTCACTTTCCCTTTGTCTCTCTCCAGCGAGTACACAGACTCGATAACAAAAACCTTTAAAAAAAAAAAAAAAGTGAGGAGAAAATAAAGATGCAGATGAACAAAAATTGAGGAATCATTCAAAGAAACAAAAATTTCAGAAACAGACTTAAGTAGTGTTTAAAGTATTTGATCAAAAATGACCTCACAGAGGGAACCAGCAGTTAGCGTAATGGCTATGTCGCTGGACTCCCACGTAGTCGACCGCGGTTCGCGTCCCAGACCCAGTGGCTTAAACTCACGCCGGGCGCGTGTGCGTGCCCAAGATCCCGAGAGGAGAATGGAGAAGAAGGGATTGTAGCATGACCATCCCCCTGGGGGGTGATTTCTCACTTTCTGTCTCTCTGTCTCTGTCTGTCTGGTGAGCGCACGCGCCCTATAGTGAAAACCTCTCCAAAAAAAAAAAAAAGACCTCACAGAGTGCTGGCTTTGGCAGAACACATACTAAACTGGAAGGGTACAGAGAAGATCAACACAGCCCCTGCGCGAGGGTGGCACGCACATTCGTGAAGCGTTCCATATTTTTGCGGGATAGGGAATCAAGGATGGCAAAAAAAAAAAAAAAAAGAGAAAAAAAAAATACACAAGACATAAGAAATGGAAAATTATTTGTTGATAACACGTATGTTGATGTGCTTGATTGAGCCAATATACAGTGTATTCGGGATGGAAAAAAAAATGACCTCACAGAGGGGAATAATAGGTTATAAATGTAAGCTATATTTGAACAACTAGACAGAAAGGAAAAAAGCAAATTTCTACCTGATATAATATAATCAGGTAAGTTCCCTATGGATTTATAAAAATTTAAGTATCTGTAAGAAATGTTTTTAATTTTGGAGTAGGAAATGCTTTCATGACATGGCCCAAAGCTCTAAAAAATTAATATATTTGACTAGATAAAACTAAAACTACTAAACAAGATATTATAAACAAAGCTTAAAAGTCCAGCACGTTAACCACAATGTCACCTGCTGGCCTCAAAATAGATAAACTTAAAAAATACTTATCAGGCCAGTAGGTACTGTGGTGATTAAGGCAGCTGAATTCCACAAGGCTGAGTGACTGGTTTAAGTCCCGGACCCTGTGGCTTAAAAAAACATGCCAGGCATGTGTGCCCATGTGCCCATAATCCTGACAAAGAGGGGATTACACTGTAGTCATCCCCCTTGGAGGGTGATTTCCCACTTTCTCTCTCTCTCTCTTATCTCTGGCAAATGCATGTGCCCTATAGCAAAACTGAAAGAAAAAAAATTCCTTCTACAAATTCTCAAAATGTACTCCCAATAGTGGGTACCAGCAGGTGGCATGGTAGTTGTGCTGAACTCCCACATGGCCGACCACGGGCTGAGTCCCAAACCTGGTGGCTTGCTTTCTCACTTTCCCTTTCTCTCTCTGTCTCTCTCTAGTCAATTTAAAAAATAAAAGCAATAAATAAAATTATTTTTCTAAAAAAAAAATGTACTTCCAGCAGCAATTTCTTTCTGAAATTACCATTGCCCACAAATGGCATAATAACGGTTACATGGCTGGACTGCCACACGGTACGGCCGACTACAGGTCCAGTCCCGGACCTGGGGGCCTGAAAATCATGCAGGCACATGTGCATGAATGCTCGAGATCCAGGGGGAATAAGAGGAGGAGTTACAGTGTGGCCATACCCCCGGGGGTGTTTCTCACTTTCCTTCTCACTGTCTATGTCTCTAGCCCCCTCCCCCATGAGAGCATGCGTCCCAAGGCAAACTCTCTTAAAAAAAAAGATTTTTTTCCCTCATATGTAGTACATGACAGGACTTCAAGAACTTCATAAAAAATAGTATTAAAGTACAAACTTATTTTGGTGTAAAAAATTTTAGAGCTCATGAACAGCTTTTTTTTTTTTTTTTAGAGGTTTTTGCTATAGGGCGCGTGCGCTCGCCAGACAGACAGAGAGAGACAGAGAGATAGAAAGCGAGAAATCACCCCCCCGGGGGGAGGGGCAGTGGCCCCGCCGCAATCCCTTCTCCATTCTCCTCTCGGGATCTTGGGCATGCACGCACACGCGCCCAGTGTGAGTTTAAGCCACCGGGTCCGGGACTCGAACCACGGTCGACTACATGGGAGTCCAGCGACACAGCCATTATTCTAACTGCTGGTCCCCATGCACAGCTTTTTAATAGTAATCTCCCATGACCTTTTTGGAGACTCTTCATATTTTCATACAGTGTAAATCTGACGTGAAAATACAGCATGGTATAAAATAAATATTTTTCCTTCTAAAACAACAAAAGAAACAAACCTGTGTGGTCTTTCCAGATCCGGTTTCTCCTACTATCAAGACTACTTTATTTTCCTTAATTATTTTAACAATTTCTTCCTGTTTCTCAAACACTGGCAAAGACTGCCTGAAAGAATCAAATTCAGACTCTCCTCTTCTCACTGGAGTCTGAGGTATGCCGTTGTTGAGTCGCCCACTTGTCTTGCTCATTTCTCGGTTTTCTTTGAAAATGAAAAGAACAAAAATTTACGATCAACACTGAAAAAAGAAGTGCTAAAATTAAAGACAAGTCATTTTTTTCTTTTCTTTTTTTTAAGAGTTTTTTGCCTTACGGCACGTGTGTGTGTACGTGTGTGTGAGAGAGATTGAGAAATCATCCCCCCAGGGGGTATAGCCATGCCATAATCCCCTCTCCTCCATTCTCCTCCCAGGATCCTGGCCACATATGCACAGGCGCCCAGCATGAGTTTCAAGCCCCCAGACCCAGGACTCTAATCATGGTCTGCCATGTGGGAGTCCAGCAACATAAACATTACACCATCTGCAGGCCCCAGGACAAGTAATTTCTAATATAATTCCTTTCAAGTGTTTTTCTCTACTCAGTCTACATAGGTTAGCAAGCAATGTTTCAACTGTTGTACTCCTATATAGACTATTATTATAGATCATGTTCCAAATTTCAGTATCAATTAGAAAGACAACTTTTCGGGCCGCCAGGTGGCATGGTGGTTAAGGTCGCTGGATTCCCACATGGCTGACTATGGTTCAAATCCTGGACCTGGCGGTCTGTTTTCTCACTTTATATCTCTCTCTCACTCTGTCCCTCTCTGGTCAAATTAAAATAAATAAATAAAGTTAATCCAAAAAAAAAAGAAAAGTAAACCTCTCAGAAGTATTTCTGGGGACTGGCAGATGCGTGGTGGTTAGGGACACTGGCTCCCACATGGCCGACTGTGGTTCAATCCCAGACCTGACAACTTCCTTCTTACTTTCTCTCTCTGTCCTTCTATGGGCAAATTTAAATAAATAAAATTAAATTAAAAATAATAATAATTCTTAAACACACACACACACATATATATACATATATATTTATGGAATCAGCAGATGTAATGGTTAAGGTGCTGGACACCCACGTAGTTGACTGTGGTTCAAGTCCCAGACCCAGCAGCTTAAAATCCATGCCAAGTGTGTGTACATGTGTGCCCAAAATCCCAAAAGGATAATGGAAGAGAAGGGACTGCGATATGGACATGCTCCCTAGGGCAGGGTTGAGTTCTTGCTTTCTGTCTCTCAGGTGAGCACATGCACCCTCTAGCAAAAATATCTCAAAAAAAAAAAAAAAAAAAAGTCTTTCTGATGTATAATGTTTAAAAATAAATAAAAACGGGGTCCAGCAGGTGGCATGGTGGTTAAGGTGCTGGATCTCATAGTTGACCCCTGTGGTTTGAGTCCCAGATCTCGTGGCTTAAAAAACATGCCAGGTACATGTGCATGTGTGCCTGAAATCCCAAGAGGAAAAAGAGGAAAAGATCCTGAGAGGAGAATGGAGGAGAAGGGATGGCCATCCCCTCTGAAGAGTTATTTCCCACTTTCTCTTTCTCTGTCTCTATCTCTTTCTGGCAAGCATATGTGCCCTACAGCAAAAACCAAATAAATACATACATACATACTAATCATTTTCTAATCATTTAAAGTAAAACACAATTTAATAATCCATATGATCTTCAGGACTGCTATAAGCTTCTATCAAAAATACCACAGAAAATTTAAATTTTATAGTAGGAAGTAAGGGGCATTATACTGATTTTACATAAACATGAAAATACACCATAAGAAAGGAAAATACCCTATGTTTAAATTTATACATGTGAAATAAAATGACCAAAAAGAATGTAAGTATAAATAGAAGGTCCTAATGCTAAACAAATTTCTTAACTAAACATTTTAGTCAACAAACACATTTAATCAAGCAGGCAGGTCTGAAAAAGAGGTATAATATGCTTTATATTTTCATGTAGCTCAAATTATTTTCATGTACCTGTATATAAAGCTCAAGTTCTTTAATATCTAAGATCATGTTTCATACATTTTACAAACCTACTCCAATAGATAACAGTAATTATGCAAAGTATGTCACTATCAGCGATAAAACAAAAAACTAAATAAGTGATCTTTTTAATGTGGTAAAATTACAACTTCACTTTATAACCTGCATATATCATTTATCTACCTTTGAGCAATTTAATATACTAAAACTCTGTCCCATCTCCTCCTGTAAGTTAAAACCTCAACTTAAAAATCTTACTCATCACTGTGCCACAGGAGGGTAATAAAGTCCAGATAGACTCAGCTCCCAGCTCTGCAGCTGACTGCTTGGTGAGTAGCCTTGAACAGACTATTTAACTCCTCTGAGCCCCAGCTTCTTCCCCCGTGAAATAGGGAAGATTCTCACCTTGCAAAGGCTGTATGAGGTTCCACATCAAGGGCTGAGCATGCTGACTAGCACACAGTCGGTGCTCAGCACATTTACCTACTATGTACACGGTACCTATTATTACAGCACTTAAATTGATTCAACTCCATTACATGCCTCAACATTTAGTTCCAAAATTTTCACAACTTTTAATCATTACTAACAAACTATTCAAACTGAAAAGCCTTATTTCAACTTCATTTATTAAAATAAATCTAAAACAGAAAAAGAACAGCCATTAAATAGCAGGGCAAACAGGAAGCTCTCCAGAAAATACATACCAGCTTCAACTGCAAACACGTTTCCTCTTTCTGTTTTAGGCAGGAGCTCGGTGCGCTCTTTATTGGTGACAGGAAACCTCTGAATTAGGCTCCTCACAGCATGCTTTGTATTATGGGTCAAATTACAGGTCATCATTGCATGAGCTGTTTCTGATCCATCCTTCTTCCTCACAGTCAGGTATCTATTTGCTCCCTTTCTGAACATTAATAAAAATAATTTACTTATTATATGTAGTCAATTTGTTCACACATGCCATATGCCTACTTAGAAAATACATCTCCAATGAAACACTGAAAAAAAGACACAACACTGGCATAAAATGCTGAAGCCCCCATCAATAAAAAGTAATAAAGAGATGTACGGGCTAAGGTGGCCCAAGACTATTTTCAGTTAAAACCCTTCAATGCTGGAAATCCAATTTTAAGTCGGCAAGAAAGGCTTATTTACCCATAAATGTTAAAGTCAGTCTTATCAACTTCATGGTAGATGAAACATCACCAGTTAATACATGCTGGGAAGCATACAGAGGCAAAAAAAATTTATTTTTTTAAATCTGAATAGGAGAACCTAAAAATAACAATGAAAAATTTATGCCCCACTGAATGTTTCCACAGTATGTTGCTAACATGGCACTTCCATGAAAACCTGTTTAGAAAGCCAAGTTTTTGTGGCCAGCAGGTGGTGTGGTAGTTAAGGGTGCTGGACTCCCACATGGCAGACCATGGTTCAAGTCCCTGGCTTGCTTTCTCACTCTCTCACTCTGTCCTTCTCTGGTCAAACAAAATAAACAGGTGAATAAAGAAAAATAAGATAATTCTTTAAAAAATAATAATAAAAGAGAAAGTCAAGTGTAGTGGCTGGACCAAAAAAGGATAAACAGGATTATTGATAACTATTTTCAGAAAGATTTGTTTTTTTTTTAAGAAACGAAGTTTTTCAAAGCCTCTGGCTCTACTCTTCAATTTTAAGGTATAATACATAACTAGCCAAGGTATTTGCAGCATGTATATTTGTGTCTTCACTTGGTCAATGACAAGCTACACCTTTTATGACTTATAACTCTAAGAGTACTAAATATAATTCCGTATACACAGGAAGTCCCCAAATGTGTTCTGAATGATTTAATAAGACATGCCTATAATCTAGCAATGCAGTACAAGTTAAGAGTTCACACTAGAAAGGCACACAAAACTGAGTTTGAATCCCAGCCCTACCACTTATTAGCCATGGGGACCACAGGCATATTATTTAAAGCTGGGTATAAAATGATGATGATGGTGGTGCCATCTACCTCAAAGGACTAGTACTTATCTATTATAGAGTAGGCGCTAAATAAATAAAAGCTATTATAATTAAGGCAGGAAACAATACCATGTCTTTTCTTTTTTTCAAGAGAGGTTTTTGCTATACGGCACATGTGCTCGCCAGACAGACAGAGAGACAGAAAGCGAGAACACCCCTCAGGGGGGATGAGCGGACCTCTCCTCCATCCTCCTCTCAGGATCTTAGACACGAATACACACTCACCCAGCATGAGTTTAAGCCACCAGGTCCGAGACTCGAACCACGGTCGATGGGAGTCCAGTGACATAGCCATTATACTACCTGCTGGTCCCAAAAAATATCATTTCTTAAACTACAAAAAAATTAGCCAAAATATCTCATAACATTTTTACCACTTTTTGTCACACTATATTATGAAAATGTAGAAAGCCACAAATACAATGAAAATTGTATTATAGGTTTATAATTTCCCTAATTTTCACTAGATTTAAATTTTATCAACAATAACTTCACCATAAAAATTATATTAAAGGACCAGTTCTGTGATCTGGTGGTTAAGGCAGCCAGATCCCACCTGGCCAACAGCAGCGTTCAAATCCTAGCCCTGGAGGCCTGAAAAACACACCAGGCACATGTGTGTACAAGCCCAAAATCCCAACGGGAAAGAGAAATGGAGAATCGCTGTGTGACCAGGTCCCGTTGGGCGGTACACTTCCCTCTCTCTCTGTCTTCCTGGTGAGCATATATAACCTCTGGCAAATTAAAAAAAAAAAAAAAAAAAAGTTAAACTGAGAATTAACTTATACAGTTTTAGCTATGTAATAAAGCCTTTTAAATGAGACTTTAAATTTATGAAGATTATTAATTTCGGGAAATTCCTTATTAAATAATGAATTATAAGCTTTCTTTAAAAAATTATTATTTTTTTTTTTTTTTGGAGAGGTTTTTGCTACAGGGCACATGTGCTCGCCAGAAAGACAGAGAGAGAGAGATAGAAAGCGAGAAATCACCCCCCCAGGGGGGATGGCCACGCCGCAATCCCTTCTCCTCCATCCTCCTCTCGGGATCTTGGGCACACACACACACGCGCCTGGCGTGAGTTTAAGCCACCAGGTCTAGGACTCGAACCGTAGTCAACTACATGGGAGTTCAGCAACATAGCCATTACACTAACTGCTGGTCCCTCTTTTAAAATTTTTTTATTGTTTATTTTTATTCATTATAATTATTATTTTTTTAACTTACTACAGGACACACATGCTCACCAGAGAGACAGACACACAGAGAGAATGAGAGAGAGAATGCAAGCCAGCAGGTACGGGACACGAACCACTACTGGCCATGTGGAAGTCCAGTGCCTTAACCACTACACCTCTGCTGGTCCCAGATTATAAATTTTCTATGCTATCATCTATTCTTTAACAAGTATTTTAGAGATGCTTAAAGATGAAAGATGCTATAAAGATAAAATAATTAAAATTTAACTTGATCTAAGAATTTTAAATTTTTCCATGGTAAATCAAAATTATTAGATTCTCAAGATTCTGTCTGTAATAGGTTCTTTCCTCATAGACCTTTCTAAAACTTCCTAACAATCAATACAGACTCAATCATTCATTCCCCTCTGTGTTATTTGCTTCATGAAATTTTAACTACAGAAGGCAATAAGCATGCTGAAATGAACACTAGAGCAAAAGTCCTAAGGCAAGTGTTCAACTAATAATAAATAACCTTTCGGGGCCAGCAGGTGGCCGGGTGGTTAGGGCGCTAGATACTCCCACATGGCTCAAGTCCTGAATCTGGTGGCTTGCTTTCTGCTGCTCGCTCTCTCTCGCGCGTGCGTGCGCTCTCTCTCTCTCTGTATGTCTCTTTCTGGTCAAATTAAAATAAACGAATGAATAAAGAAAGCTAAAAAATAATTCTTAAAAATAATAATAATAATAAATAACCTTTCAACTAACTAATAAAATAAGAAATAAATCATTTTACTTCTCTAACAACATATACTGGCTAATTTAAAAAATTCTAATATATCTCAGTTCTAAGATGCTTTAATTTTCTTTAAAATATCTCAGGAAGATTTGGCTCTATTTCACCTTCAATTTTCTTTCATTCACTCATTCAATAAATTATCATATCTTAATTGAGTATGTAGTATATGCCAGACACTGGTACAACCTAGAATTGTAAAATACACTCTTTTACCAACAAACTCACAACTAAAATGGGTCAAATTGAAACTTTCTTATCCTTGGTTGCCCAAAATAAAATTTATGTATTTTAAAAAATTCAAACTAAACAGGTGTATTCAGTCATTACGATTTAAAGTTTACTGAATTCAGTCTGAATACTGTTGGCAGGACAGAAAGATATCACCTTGATAGTTTTCATGTTTTAGTAAGAGATTCTATTGGGCTATTAGTGCTCATTCTTACCATATTCAGCACCACAGCAACACTGATAATATCATAAAAAGGACCGCAGTTCATGTCCTGCACCTGGTGGCTTAAACTCACACTGGGCGTGTGTGAGTGTGTGCCCAAGATCCCAAGAGAAGAATGGAGAAGGGATGGCAGCGTGGCCATCCTCCCTGGGGGGTGATTTCTCGCTTTCTGTCTTTCTGTCTCTCTTTCTAGCGAGCGCACGCGCCCTATAGCAAAACCCTCTCCAAAAAAAAAAAAAGACTCGCGAAATTTTGGTAAATAGTCACCTCATGGTTGTGAGAATGGAAAGATTTATCTACCCTACTATCTAAACTAACACACGGAGATTTCTTCATGCTTTCAGTCCAAGGTAACTGACACCATGATGAAAAACATGAAAGTCCCTGCTTTACAAACAAAATTAACCAGAAACCAGCTGCGCATGTAAAACAGAAGCTAGCCACATGACTTTTACAAGAGTTTTTAAAAATAATAAAATGCGGGACCAGCAGTTAGTGTTATGGCTATGTCGCTGGACTCCCACGTAGATGACCGCGGTTCAAGTACCAGACCCGGTGGCTTAAACTCACACCGGGTAGGTGTGCGTGCGTGCACAAGATCCCGAGAGGAGAACGGAGAAGGGATTGCAGCGTGGCCATTCCCGCTGGGGGGTGATTTCTTGCTTTCTCTCTGTCTCTCTGTCTGGCGAGTGCAAGCGTCCTATAGCAAAAATCTCTTCAAAAAAAATAAATAAAATAAAATAAAATGCCAACCCCAGATGTAGCTTCTAAGCATAAAAGCAAATGTAATCAATTTATAGATAAGAACATTACAACTTCTAATTGCAAAGAGTAAACGTAGCCAATGCAAGCTATAATAAAGGTTTCAATGGCTTCTTTTTAAAGAAAAACGGTGCTATGACTAATACAACAACTTACTAACTTACAAACCATGCTGCTGAACTTTAGCTCATATATTTCCATATGCCTGCATATTCCCTACTTCCCACACCTTAAAACAGTTTGAAAGATCAGCTAAAGAGCCAATCTGAAATGACTACAAAACAGTTGACAGCCACTTAAAAGTGGTAATGTCTCCTAAAAGTAACAGCTACTCATTTGATGTCTACTAAATACCTAATTTCAAATCCCCTTAACTTATATTTCAACTAGACAGATAGATTCAAAATGGAGCTTTAAACCATTTACTTCCTCATATCACAATAAAGAATTATAAATTTATAAAAGTTTGCATCACACTAATTTATACTTATTTACAATGACCTAGAAACAAATAATTTTAAAAAGTTAACTTTACGTTGTTACTAAATTAAATAGCTGCTTTCATATCATGGCCACTATATTTACAGTAAATTTGTTCTACATTTTTTCTTCCATGGATGAGTCTGAGACCGAGAGAGAGTACCCTCGATAAGGTGCACCCTCTAGACACCACAACCCACCCAGCCCCAGCCAGCCCTGGCTCACTG